ATCTTCTGCTCCATGGCCTCGAGGACCTCTGTCATGTCTTTCCTCAAGGGCGTAAAAGTGTGGTATCTCTGTCTTTCGAACAACATCGGCCTCCTCTGCCACTCATCTCCCTTCTCCCTTTTCGAGTCTCGACTCTCTCTTCGGGGTGATGCCCTCTTCTGCCCACTCCCTTAAATGTAGAAAATGACCGATAAGTATTGCACTATTCAACTTAGCATTTTGCATTTTCGAGCTTCTAATTTAAATCATTATCAAAAGTTTAGTTTTTAGTTTTCATGATTTGAAATTATGACTCTAATCTCAAAAAGTACAAGTTTTGAAATATTTTATTATTTAAATGTCTTTATAGAAATATAGTGCAATGTCGCGCACAATAGCGTGAAATAACGCAAAATAGCGTAAAAAAAAGTATCATTTCAGCATTTCGCGTAAGCTTCTTGGGAAAAACGCTAAACATATAAAGCTGCGTCGCGTTTTTTGGAAAAAAAAAAAAAAAAGCTACAGTGGGAGCAATACCGAGCTACATAGCGAGCTATTTAAACAATAGTAAAAATGCATCTTTTTTTACTCGAAATCTGTAGCACACCATAGTCACGAGCTCCGGCGAACTGGAACGGAGTTGAAAATTGAGCACTTAAAGATAGAATACTTTTTATGACTAATAAAATTACCTCTTTTATCTCCTCTTTTGCTATTTTGATTACAAGCATTTTTTTTCATGAACAAAACTATGATGTATTTTTCCTTTGCTTTCAACTTTTTCCAACCTTTTCCTCTAGTCTCCTCTCTTTTTTTCTCTCTTGTTGCTTTAACTGAACTCAAGCAAAACATTTATAAAGAGACATGAGGATCAGTTGGTGCTAGTGGTATGAGATATTGAGATCAAGTTGGCATTTGCAATATGGCAAGCATCACATTTCTTCACGCAATGCATCATATAAAGCAAAAGAGGGTAAGACAACAAATGATTCAAGTGGGGGCCACTTGAATAAAATTTACACTCAAAATTTTTCTTACATATAATGAATAATATACATGCATACATACATACATACATCTCTTGTGTGATTCTAACAAATCACTAACAAATTACTATCCAAGTACTCAACAAACTTATATCTTGTCTTCTCTCTTTTATTCCTTCTTTTTCGTCCCGCAGATTATTTATTAATAAGAATCAGACACGACCGCTATGAAACTGCAAGTCCGAGATCGCCATGTATGAAATCAAATCTATGTATATGCACATACATATAGAAAAAAAAAAAAAAGTATATATATATATAGAAAATTTTATTTGAAAATTTTGTTCATAATTTTATTTATTTATTTATTTATTATTGTTATTATTATTATTATTATTTATTTATTTATTTTTTGCAGGTGGTTATGGACAATGGCATCCTCAGAGTGACACTGTCAAAGCCAGATGGCATTGTGACCGGCATTAAGTACAACGGCATAGACAATTTGCTTGAGATTGCTAACGAGGAATCGAATAGAGGGTTAAATCAATTTTTTTTTTATTAAAAAAAATTTCGAAATTATTTTTTTTAAGAGTATTCCATAATTAAAGATAAATAAAATTATTATAAGGTGATGAGATTTCATATTAATTTTAAATAATTGTGCTTTGTTCATCAGGTATTGGGACTTTGTTTGGAGTCCTCCGGGAAGCACTGGAACTACAGGAACATTTGAATTGTACGTACTTTATGCAAATTAAAGATAAAATTTAATGCTTCATTTTTTTATATATATAAATAAGTATGCTATTTATTATTGAGTTTGCATTTTAATTTAGGTTATTTTTATAAAATGTCATTAAAAAAAAAACTCTTAATTAAGAAAAAAAAAAATTACAGGATCCGTGGGAAAAAATTTGAAGTTGTGGTGCAGACAGAGGAACAAATCGAGCTATCATTCTCAAGAACATGGGATATAAGTGAGCAGGGCAAGTTTGGACCACTAAATATAGACAAAAGGTTAGTGTAACAAAGATAAGACTAGTACAACATCCGTGTATTACACGGGTGTTTGTTGAAAAATTATTCTTAAATTTTAAAACTAATGAAAAAAATTATATTAAATCTACAAAAAAATATATATTATTATATATTTTAGAATGACACTTGTTCTTTGTGCGACTTACATGTGCTATATTATAGTAATTTTTATAACTTATATCATATAACTACTTGAAATATAAATATATTAATTGATAAATAATTTTATTTTTCTAATTATTATTGTTATAAAGATAAATGTAATTTATGTTTTTTATACATACAATATGGATGTTAAATCGAAGCTCATAAAGAGATGATTAATTTGATATTATATATGTAAAACTGATAAAGATTACAAAAATTGTTAGCTTTTAAATACATTTACAATTCAATTGTTATAACAAGAAATGATATTAAAATGCAATTAATTCATGTAACGTGACCATAAATAATCAACATATTTATGGGTAATCCGGACTTAAATATTTTTGGATTGGAAGTAAATTAAAATTTACCCAAGTCTAATAGCGAACCATGTAATTTTGCCACATATGATCCCGAAGATTGCGAGTCTGTCACTTAGACTCAGCACATTTTGAATAAATATATAGAGGGATATATAATCATGTTTAATTATATGCACATACATAGGCTAAATTTTATTTTTAGTATATACCGTGTTGGTCATTTTCCAGAAAAGGTCCATCATATAGGGTAATGTCATCAATTATGGTCCACTAAAGTTGCCACTTTTCATCAAAACTCGTACAATAGCCAGCATAGTGTACTAAAAACGACAATCACTTTTAGTACACTGTGTTGGTTTTTGCACGAATTTTTTATTAAAGTGGCAACTTAGTCGACTACATTTTGAAAAACGGCACGTACAAACATAATTATGCATGACCAATTTTAATTCGTAATGTTTTTTTATTTGCAGATTCGTGATGCTCCGTGGCTCGTCGGGCTTCTATTCATATGCAATTTACGAGCATTTAGAAGGGTGGCCGGGTTTCAACCTCGACGAGACAAGAATTGTTTTCAAGCTGAGAAAAGACAAGTTAATACATGAGCTAGCTCTCCTTATCTCTACATTTATTTAATCAATTGTCTAATTTTTATAGTTATAATTAACTAGGTTTCGTTACATGGCAATGGCGGACAACCGGCAGAGATATATGCCGTTGCCGGACGACCGGTTAGCCGGGAGAGGAGAAGCCTTAGATTATCCAGAGGCTGTGCTTTTGGTGAATCCAATTGAGCCTGAATTTACAGGTGAAGTGGATGATAAGTACCAATATTCAGGTGATAATAAAGATGTGAAGGTCCATGGTTGGATATGTGAGGACCCAATTGTGGGCTTTTGGGTAATTATGCCCAGCAATGAATTTCGAACTGGCGGGCCCATCAAACAAGACCTGACTTCACACGTTGGACCTATTGCACTTTCTGTATGTAGTAATATTATAAATAATCATCATTAATTGGTCATTGGATCGTATATTTTTATTTTACTACAAAATTAAATTTAAGGATTGTATAATTAACCAGGAGATGCTATGGTCTCGTTATGAAACATTTCGTTGATGTTTGAAACCGTTAAAACAACTATTCCCGACGATTACATGATGATCTAACGGTTTTCAAATCCCGACGATAGTTACGTAACAGGACCGTAGCATTTCTCAGTTAATCATCATTACCGGTAATTGATATCGTATATTTTGTTGTTGGGCAGATGTTTGTGAGTGCTCACTACGGCGGGGCAGATTTAGTAGTGAAGTTTGGAGAAGGGGAGGGATGGAAGAAGGTTTTTGGTCCGGTTTTTGTTTATCTGAATTCTGTAGACCCTCAAGAACCCGACCCGCTTTTGCTTTGGGAAGATGCCAAACTTCAGGTTATTATATACTATCACATATTCTGTCATATTTTTATTTATATTATTTTTCAATTTATCAAATTTCAATTTGAAAATACATAACTAGTACAACACTCTGGTGTATTACACGAGTGCTTGTTAAAAAATTAATATAGAATTTTAAAATTAATAAGAAAATTATTTTAGATTTTATTTACTTTTTTTACAAATATATATATATATATATATATATATATAATTATATATTTTAGAATGTCACTTGTTACTTGTGTGACTTACATTCGTTATATTATAGTAATTTTATAACTTATATTGTATAACTACTTGAAATTATAAATATATTAATGGATAAATAATTTTATTTTTTTAATTCATATTAAACATTAACAAATTTATTATTTTTATAAATATAAATATAATTTATTTTTTTTATACATACAATATGGATGTTAAATCGAAGATCATCAACAGATGATTAATTTGACTATTATATATATAAAACTGATAAAAAATACAAAAGTTATTAATTTTTTAAAATACATTTATAATTCAATAGTTATAATGAGAAATGATATTGGAATACGTGTAACATTATAATAAATAATCAACATAATTATTGATAATTCGGACATAATTATGTCTGGATTGGAAGTAAATTAAATCTACCCAAGAGCATGTAATTTTGCTACATAAGATCTCGAAACATGCGAGTCTGTCACTTAAGCTCAACAAGTTCTGAATTATATAATTTTGCTACATAAAATCTCGAAACATGCGAGTCTGTCACTTAAACTCAACAAGTTCTGAATTAATATATAAGGAGAATTTAAAAAAAAAAATATGGTCGTCTACCCGTTAACCTCTTTATTAACAAATTTACTGTAAAAATATGAAAGCATAGACGAAAATAAAATAATTAAGCACACCAATTATGAATTCATTTGAAAATACACTTTCGAAAGGGACTCCTGATGCAAAAGTGTATTTAGATAAATATTCATATTTTGTGCTAATTAATTATGAACTTATTGATAAGTTGTTTCTTCAAA